CTTCAGTCACAAGGGGTTGCTATAGTACTGCAGATTGGAACTCCATCCTCCCTTTTTTTCCACCCAACACCTCTCATTCCAACCACCAGTGCAATATTTTGTCACTCCCGTGATGCTGCTTGCACGGGTCTATGCATAAGCTTCTATGGTCATTGCAATATGTGTCTTTAGAGCTCTTCTCCAAGAGTACAGGTTTCTTCTCTGATCCAGGAAGTCACTGGTGCCAGCCCAACCCCTGAGCTGTTATAACCAGGCATCTCCTGAAAGAGGGAAGTGAGCTTTCTGCTTCCCAGATAGAATGAAGGTCTCAGACAAGTCCCCCAACTTGTTGACCCTACCTCTAGTGTCAGAAAATGAATAGGCACAACAGATAATAGATTTCATCAAGGCATCTTACTTCTGTACAGGGGGGTACTCTGCCACTCTTTCCAGAGGCTAGGCAGGCACTCAGGATGGGGGTGGAGGAAGGAGGGTTCCTGCTTGGTTTTTATCCTAATTCAAGAAGTGATGTCCCTTTTCACAATTTCTTTCCAATTGGTTGCCAGGGTGATGGTAAAACAGGGAAAGTCAGAAAGCATTCTAACCATCCATGAAAGTTCTGTAAGGAGAGGGATGGCTGTCCTTTTGGAAGCAACCATGCACATTTTTCCCATTATAGCTGACAGGGAGCAGGGTTGTGAATGGGTCTGAGGCTGGGCTGCTGACAGTTATAGACAGAGAGGTCTGTAAAGTCAATGGAAAGTTCTCACCCAAAGAGCATCTGCTCTTGAACTTTGTTGACCAAGATTTATATAGCTGCTCTGACTGGCTGATCACAAACAGCATAGACGATATTTACAATTGAAGTTAAGAAGCAAATGATTCCAAAAAATATTGGTACCAGGAAATATCAGTATACAATGGTGGCTGCTTACAAGATGGAGACATTTTAGTTGCACTGAAAAGATTACTTCTTCTCACATGATGTCCCAGGTGTGTTATGTAAGAAACATTTCTTACCTACTATTTAGTCCTAATTGGGCCCCAATTTGCATTTGAGTTTATTCGGTTCAATGTTTTTAGGCATCCATTTTAAAGGTTAAAATAATGTAAACAGAGATTGCCACATTCCATTAACCTAACAAGAAATAAAAACACAAGTGCAAAAAATGAGCCAGTCACTGTTCTGGACTATGAAGACGGGCAGAAATTGCATGCTGAGAGAAAAGCTAGAGGCACTGTTGTGAAATGCGCATGCAAGGTCTAAGAGCACTATGTTCAGAGTTCACTGGAGCACTGAGTACCCAGAGCTGTGAAAACACACTCTCAGTGCTGGTAATGTGTGAGAGATAGGAGGGAGCAGAGAAGTGGATGGAAGGGTTTTCTTGGTAAGTAGCACAAACCAATACAGGAAGCTATTCATCAGCTCCCCGTATATAGGTACCCACCCCTTGGCCTCTGTTTGAATGATTTCTATCATCTGCATACAGTAAACCTGACCAAACCAGGTACCAGTGGCTCACCCCTGCAATCCTAGCTAACTCTGGAGGTAGAGATCTGAGGATCAAGGTTCAAAGCCAGCCTGGACAGGAAAGTCCATGGAGATTCTTTTTTTTTTTTTTTGGGGGGGGGTGGTGTCCGGTCGTGGGGCCTGAACTCTGGGCCTGGGCTCTGTCCCTCAGCTCTTCAGCTCAAGGCTAGCACGCTCTACCACTTGAGCCACAGCGCCACTTCCAGCTTTTTTCTTTTTGCTTATGTGGTGCTGAGGAATCGAACCCAGGGCCTCAGGCATGCAAGGCAAGTGCTCTACCACTGAACCACCTTCCCAGCCCTCCATGGAGATTCTTATCTACAATTAACCAACGAAACACCAGAACTGGAGCTATGGCTCCTATGGTAGAGCACTAGCCTTGTGTGAAAAGGCTAAGGAATAGAAGAATCTAGGCCCTGGGTTGAATCCCCGGTATTAGCACTAAATAAATAAACAAACCTGGCCAGAAACTGCTTACCCATTGTACAACTATCTCTTCCAACTCTTCATTATGCAGATTCACTGTAGGAAAATGCAGATTTTGAATTGACCTCTACATTGTACCTTGAAATGACTTTATCTCTTGGCAAATACAGGCTTTTTTTCTTTTTTTGAGCATCTGCACCCTAAGATCATATGTTTTCAGGCAAACACATATAAATTCTGGAGGATGAGCCTGAAGAGAAACAGTCTGTGCAGTAACAAGCCAATCTCATGGTGAAATGGCAGAATAGTATCATTCTTCTACCATCTGTAGCACCAAGATGAAATGACAGCTTCTCCTTTTTTGTCATCAAGTTGCTCATTGCTTTTCTACCTTAGGAGCCAGAGGCCACCGCTAATCTTCCTTCATTCTCTGTTCTGGCACAAACAAAACGTGTTTACAGCTTCTCTCCAGATAATTATCATTATTCCAATCTAAAGAAAGTAACCTTGAAGGAAAAAAGATTCTTCTATAGCATTCTTCCTAGGTAACTTGGTAGATATTGTGAATGGCAAGTCTGTGTAAGTTCAAATAGCCTTGTCCATTTAAAAACATATGTGAGAGAATATGTAACTATTGCTTCATAGACTAGGTATTATTCACTTTTTTTGTACCAGTCCTGTGGGGTTTGAAGCATGCTTGGGTGCTGTCCCTGAGCATCTTTTACTCCAGACTAGCACTCTTATCAACTCTTATCACTTGAGCCTAAACCACTTCCCTGGTGGTTGTCGGATCCTGGCTTTCCTATGCAAACTAAAAAGATTTGCATAATTTTCTTGGATTTCAGTACTTAGTAAATATGAAATTAAATATTTATACTCTAATTCTGAAGTCATAAATTATTCATACCTCTGGAAACCTTTCTGATACAGGTAATATAAGGGATTAGAAAGTATTTGAAAGAGAAAATTTCCATATTGGCCACAGCCAATAAACTCCTTAAAAAGTGCAGATAAAAGTAAAATAGCCATTTGAGTGTCTTTGACATATATTTATAGTAAGATAGAATAAGTTCCATTAGTTTTTTCTGCACCAAATTTCCAAGTAGTGAGTTATTACTAGTTAGAGACCAGAAACAACTTATACATGTTTTATAATACCCCCATCTAGACAAAGATCTTGATTCTTGCTTGCATTATTTAAAGCAGTTGGCAAAATACTCTTTACTCTTAAGGGTTTCCAACTGACCATTTTTATGCAGAACTGAAACTGATTTAAGGAACCCGTTTTTAATTCAGTATTAAAAGGACTTTCAAGGTCTTTGAATCAAGATTATGAATTCATGTGGCTTGCTTTTAGTTGGATATACTAGTGGTATGTGTTGTTTTACTAAGAGAATACTTGAAATGAAAATATTCTATTCTAATGCCTTAAATTGCTGTCCTTGAAAAATAATCACAGTAGAGCTGAGGTTGCTTAAAACATAATTCAATTTATTCATATCTTAGGAGTGAGGCCATGATAGAAATGCAAACACAAAAGTGCTTTTCTTAATAGAACAAACTACAGAAAAAATATAAAACAGAATAACCTTAGAAGCCCCTTAAAGAGCACTCCACTGTGAAGGGAACATTGCTTTTCAAATCTGGATTGTTGAGAAGTATTGCTGGACACATTCTTCTCAATAAACTCTTCCTGAGGCCAGACAGAGTGGAGCATACCTGTAATCTCAGCAGTCAGGAAGCAGAGGCTGGAGGATCATGAGTTCTAGGCCAGCCTCAGCAATGTAAGTCAGATTGAGGCTGATCTGAACTACAAAGCAATATCCTGTTCCAGAAAGCACAAAATAAAAGAAGCTCTTGCTTTGCTTGGATGTTACTCAGTACACTATTATATCATGTATGCACTTGTTCTGGGAGTTCTCCATTCTCATAGGGACGTCTCATAAACGAATGATGTTAAAGCCTTGGATTACCCAGTCTCTCTGAAAGAACTATAATCTCATTTGAAAAATAATCTCTGGGTAGAAGCAGTGATGAGGGAGAGAAAGAAGGAAATGAATCTGATCAAAGTACATCGTACATACTTATGGACAGGTTAAAATGAAACCCACCCTGTAGAATTCATTGACAATAATAAGAAAATGTGGAGATACAATAACCTCGGATCCAGATTTTTTTTGGGGGGTGGGGGTGTCCAGTCGTGGGGCCTGAACTCTGGGCCTGGGTGCTGTCCCTCAGCTCTTTAGCTCAAGGCTAGCACTCTAGCCACTTGAGCCACAGCACCGCTTCTGGCTTTTGTCTTTTTGCTTATGTGGTGCTGAGGAATCGAACCCAGGGCCTCATGCATGCAAGGCAAGTACTCTACCACTGAGCCACCTTCCCAGCCCATCGGATCCAGATTTTTAGCGATTAAAAAAGGAAAAAACTAATTCTTATTTGGTATACCACTACAAAACAAATGGTCTCCAAAAGAAGGAAATGTTGGGGCTGGGAAGGTGGCTCAGTGGTAGAGCGCTTGCCTTGCATGCATGAGACCCTGGGTTCGATTCCTCAGCACCACATAAGCAAAAAGAAAAAAGCCGGAAGTGGTGCTGTGGCTCAAGTGGTAGAGTGCTAGCCTTGAGCTGAAGAGCTGAGGGACAGCACCCAGGCCCAGAGTCCAGGCCACATGACCGGACCCAAAAAAAAAAAAAAAAAGAAGGAAATGTTGCCAAATCACCCTATCAAAAAGAGTGGCCAGTTCTCTCACACCTGTCATCCTAGCTACTGAGGAGGTTAAGATCTGAGAATCCTGGTTCAAAGGCAGCCTAAACAGAATAACCCAGGAGACTTGGCTCCAATTAGCCAGCAAAAAGCTAGGATGGAGATGTGGCTCGAGTGGAAAAACCAAGTGAGAGCATGAGGCTGTGCATTCAAGCCCCAGTACTGACATGGAGAAAAAGAACAACAGGGGTCAATTTGAATGAAGCGAACTTAAGATGGATCTCTATCCTGGTTGAAAAGGCATAAAAACACTGACTACTCACAGAAATGCTCACGATCTGGCTTGCAATTCCATATCCAGGTGTTGCAAGCTTCCTGGGAGAGTCATGGGGATCCGGGTGCTGCGTTTCTCTCTGGTGGTCATCCTTGTGTTACTGCTCGTGGCTGGAGCTCTGACTAACCTACTTCCAAATATTAAAGAAGACAAGATCCTCACCCTGCGTCGGGAGATGAAACCCCAGGGCAAGCCCCCACTGGATTCCTTTACTCTCATTATGCAGACGTACAACAGAACGGATCTCTTGTTAAGACTTCTAAATCATTATCAGGCAGTCCCTCACCTCCACAAAGTGATTGTGGTGTGGAACAATGTTGGAGAGAAAGGGCCAGATGAGTTGTGGAACTCTCTTGGGCCACACCCTGTCCCTGTGATCTTCAAACCGCAAACCACAAACAGAATGAGAAATCGATTACAGGTCTTCCCAGAACTGGAAACCAAAGGTGAGTTAGGGCTGAAATATAAGTCTGATAGGGCAGATGTAGGGATGTGGATTCGGGATTCTTGCAAAACAGTTGTCTCTCTGGGCACTAGTGGCTCATACCTGTAATCCTAGCTACAGGAGGCTGA